TGTCGGGAGTTGCCACGTAGCGCTGGTCGTCGCACGTGCGGGCTAGGTCTTCGGAACTCCGGGGTTCTTTGATCGCCGCGTCGTCGGCAGTTCCCGCAGGGTGTGCTGGGCCAATAGGGGGCTATGGCCGGCCACGGAACGATACTGAGTTGGTGGTACGGAAGAAGAAGGCGGAAGGGAGGGAAACTGGTGGTGATAACGACGAATCCGGGGTGGATAAAGTAGTAGGTATGGTCGAGAGAAGGAAAATCAGAGCACCGGGGGTCGCTGGTGGTAGCGCAGTGAAATTCTCGGGGACACAGTCGGTTCTCGGTTAGACAAGGGTATCTCTGTCGGAGGCTGTCCGCTATCCACGAGATGAAATAGTCGGGATCGTACGATAACGACTCCGAGCTCTCCGAGCGGGTCATTATGTCATCGCAGAGCTTACGAGACGCCTAAGGGCGGGTCTGTAACGACTACGATCACCCCGCGCGAGCACGTGCAGGGCACGCGAATTAAGTCGGGCTTATGCGTGCTTGTGTGGGATGATTGTGCCGTCGCGGACCCTGCATGGCCGCGTCCAATCAGACAGTGCTTCTGTTAGCCGATGGACGGATCGACGCACGGGGATACGTGTAAGTGCGCGACTTGGATCGCATTACACGTGTCCTCGTGTGGTATTCACCGAGTTCATCCAATCGTCTAATTACTCGTGCAAGATGCGACGACCACAATAGCTCAACAAACCAGATAAACAAAATGAGAACAGGATTACCGATTACGCAAAATTCCTATCCTACCCACGAGTGCATCAAATGCAATGATCAAAGACAAAGGCAAAGGTTCCCAGCAGAAAGACATGCACTCAAACATGGCATCCATACATTCATTCATTCAACGCATGCACACAGGGCCTCAGAGATGGAAATCACGAAGACAAGTGCAAGTAAAAATTCAAACCCAAATTTCGAGAAATTGAGAAACGGGCAGACTGCCCGGAACCGAAATCAAAATTTATGTACACGAGACAGGAGGGAGAAAAGATAAAAGAAACAACAATTCCACGTCCATCAACCTCAACTCTCTCTCTCTCACACTCTTCTTCTCTGATGCGGACAGTCCGTCGTCGCGCACCAACCCACGAAGTCGTCACCCCGCTTAGTCCTTCCGCACCCGTCAGGTTCGCCCGCGCCCACAGTCCGTCGTGACCCGCGTCAACCCCGCGCGTTCGGCACCAGCTCGTCGGGTCGCCCGACTCCTGCTCTACTCACCTCTTACTTCGCTCGTGTGCCGACCCTTCCTGATCGCGCAACCCCGAGCTTCCAACAACTGGTTAAGAGCGTTAACTAATCCCACAACCGGAATTTATAGCGTGCATGCATGCGCGAAGAACACAGAATTACAAGGACTTAGAAGAAGGGAAGGGGGGGGAGGGATTTGCCTACGTCTGCATGGTCTGATTGCGGCGTGGGGGACGTAGCCGCTCTCCACACATCGATCCGATCATGCAGACCACGGCTACCAAAAGCGTAGCAAAAGAAAGAGAAGAAGGGCGGGAAAGACGAAGTGCAAGAAGGAAGATACAATTACAATGGCGCCCGCCCAAAATTACAGTTACGCACACGATTAAAGGCGCCTACTAATCAGAGTTTCGTTGCAGCCGCACGAAGAAACGCGTAGACAAAAGGCGCCGCGCGGCAAGAAACTCCTAATTATGAAATTCCTAAATTCCTATCTAATGCTAAGAGGCAAAGAAAAGCACGAATTCCGGAAGGAAAGTCCGAAATTCCGAGAGCCATCGGGGCTCGACAAAATTCGAAAAAGATTCAAAAGAAAATTCAAAAAGAACGAAGCGAATTCCCACGCGATGTCCGCGCCCAAAAGTTTGGAACCGAAACAAAAGAAACGTCGTCAACATTTATTGATCGCGCGCGCGGCGGCGCGCCAACCATCCAACCGACCAATCAATCAACCGGCCGTCCCAGGACACACCCAGCTCCGAACTCAGCCATTTCGAAAAGAAGCGACGAAAAAGACGAAAAAGCGAGGACACTGATGCAACTTCCCACCGATCCCGATCTCCCGTAATTGGCCCAACCTTCCCAACTTAGGACCCCTCATTGTAACCGCGCAGAAAGTCGCGCGTTACAGAAAGTGGTTTGTCACAGGGTAGCCCAGGATATTAAGGACAACAATCTACAGTGACTGGATCCGCAGAATGCAGAACGGCTGCACACACAAGTCTATCAGATGGTTTTGGAACACCGGGGGAAGGGGGAGCAGATTAGCCATGCTCAGTCGGACACGTAGGATAAGCATGGCGCCCTGGCTACTTTCCCCAACTGGCCATGGAGAAGGCTTGAAGCACCAGTACACCACATATAGGCCTGCGGGTGTCAGCATGAAGCCCGCACCCGGCACCATTTCGGAGGCCGCCAAATTTATTTTTTTTTCAACGGCGGGCCTGGCCCTCGTGGCGCCTCCGAGTTTTGCTTGTGGCGACAAAAACTTTCTGCAAGGCTGGGGCTGTGTACTAGCCGTTTGAGTTCTCCTCCATCATAAGATAGCAGCTTACTAAAGTGGGGCAGTCTGTAGTGCTCGAATGTTTGACACGTGTTGATTGTTGTAGCTAAATCTTTTTTTTTTTTTCCTTTCGGGAGAACCACTTGAAGGGACACTGGACCCGGTTTCCAGGAGCCAAGCTGAGTAAGGGCCTCAGTGACTGTGTGTACCGGGTTGTTATGCGGGGTGATTCCCAGGCCCCAGTGTTCTATGGTAATAAAAGTGGTTACTGTTTTCCCTCCCAAAAAAATTAAGGGATAAATTTGCAAAATACCCCCATAAGTTGAGATAAATGCCAAAATGCCCCTTAAAGATGTGGGTAGAGCGGAATGCCCCTCTGACAAAAAACTATTTTGTGAAATATCCCTAGCGTCGGTTGGACCCCAATCTTTGCAGTATACCCCTCCCGGAGTACTTGCCCATGTTTCCTAGGTGCTATTGCAAAAAAAGTCGGTGAAAATTCACATACATTCGACCAATCGCAAGCCGAGTTGGCAAACATAACATGCAAATGACGAAAACAGACAGAAAGAAGACATCAAGACAAGAGAGGAGCAGAGGAGTCCTTGTTCTGGCGACGGGACGAAACGTCGGGTCATCCGCCAGTTGCTCGCATGAATTTCGACGATGATAGGCGTGACGCCTACCTTTGGTTCGAGCTCTGATGAGCCTTGTACTTCATGATAATTTTTATGGCTCATCCCGCTGCGTTCGGGAATTTGGTGATATGACTTGTTGACTCTGACTCTCTAAGTATCAAAATACCTGCCAATGGATCAGAAAACGCAAAAGCACAGACCCCAGAAGTGAGGCCTGGTCCTATACCGCTAAGCCTAAAGTCAGCCGAACGCATGACCAACCAACTGGTCCAGAAACTTGCCAGATTGGGGTTTCTCAAATTCAGTCCGTCTGGGCCCTCCGATATTGCCCTGGTAGGCTTAGCAACCTGGGTCCCCCAATATTCCCGCGTCCAGGGGCACAGTCCCAACCAGTAAGAAAACTCAACCAATCATCCCAACATCCAAAAGGCAAGAGGTCCAGATTGCGAAGTTGCACACCCGCCGGACAAGGGCACAACACAAAGGTTTCGGCCCCGAAGGGCATTCTGCTCTACCCACATCTTTCAGGGGCACTTTGGCATATATCTCAACGTATGGGGGTATTTTGCAAATTACCCCAAAAATTAATAATAATGTTACGAGCTACACCACTTGTTTTCCGAAAACAGACAACAAAGGACAGCACCGGGGCCAAGTCCCACTAGCAGCGTTGAGCTACCTCAAAGCCTGAATCTGGACGCTTTTGCGGAGATGTGCAGAAATGGTGTTGAGTTTCCTGAACTGCACGTCTCCTCAAACACGTCCAGATTCAGGCGTTGAGGTTGCTCAACGCTGCTAGTGGGACTTGGCCCCCGAAAGCCCAAATGGTACTCAGGAAAAGGACAAAAATCACAAAAAAAAGGTACCCAGGCCATGTGCCTTTGGTACACACATGAAACAGATCGTCAGTTCGAATTCTGAGGGAATCCTCCGGGTTGAATTGAATTGTGGGGTCCCCGGCCCCGTCCCAATTTTTGAAATATAAAGGTACCTTTCCAAAAAAAAAAAAAAAAAAAAAACAATTCTCAGGGAATCAGTTCGATGCAATAATAACTATAACTACCAAGTTAGTACCAACCCTGTTTTTCCTGTCGCGATGGAAGCCAACGCAGGATCTCACCCGCCTCCGCTGTCGACTACTAACCCGGGGCTACCGGTAGGTCCCACTTGCACGAATTAAGAGATACCGACCGTAGATAGCAAAAATCAACGGCCGAAATCTCGTAGTGTGCGCAAGTGGGAACTTGCCCCCGCGAGTTTCAGCATACGAAGTTACGACCACATACACGCTACTCTCGAAATGTTTAACGTGAGGGTGAATCATCCGCTAGACATGGAGACATACCTTGCCAAGTTGTTTGTCGATTGTGGAGGTGAAGAGTAGAGGAGCGAGGCCCATTACTAGATGGGGGTGGGGGAAGATGAATAGGGAGGCACAGTTACGGGCAAAATGCTGGGTCCTTGTGTTAGGCGGGAAGGGGTCGGGTCCACCTACGGTAGCCGTCTCCCGCTCATTTGCCAACTCAGGGCATACTCACACTCGGACTTCTCTGGATGTATGTGACTGCTTCGCAGCAACGTCTTGATGCACCTGGTCAAAATTACGTCCAGGGGGAAGTGGAAACAAAGTCCTACTGTAGTCTGAGGTCCTAGTCTGAATACGCCTTCATTCGGGAGCGCGAACGAGCTAGAAGCCGCGATTTTTAGCGGACTCGTTGTTGTGGGACCTTCTTTTCTTTTTTTTTTTTCTTTTTTTTTCCCGGGACCTTCTTTTCTTCGTTTCGTCGTGTGACGGTATAAAACCCAATTTGGGCGTGCCGGCCGATCAGTTGCGCTTGGACGGCGGGAAGGCTGACGCAGTTCGTCCGATCGCTCCCCGCCGGCCTCGACCAGCAGCAGCGGCAGCAGCGGCAGAAGAAGAGTGTTAACTTTGGCATGAAGGTTTATGTTTGACGTGGCGCGAAGGATTTCCGACGTGGCTCGAAGGTCTTTTACCGTGGGGCGAAAGCGAAGGTCGTTCTTCGACGAGCCGGCGGGAAGGTGTTTTGGCGCGAAGGTTTTTGCCGTGGCGCGAAACAGGAGCTCTTCTGCCGTGGCGCAAAAGCGAGGGTCTTTGTTTGACGACCCGGGCAAGGTCCCACTTGCACGGATTTCGAGATTCTGATCGTTGATCTGTGCTATCTACGGTCAATATCTCTTAATTTGTGTAAGTGGGACCTAGCCCCCGGGAAGATCTTTACCCTGGTCCGAAGGTGTGTGCTCGTCTCGTCCTCGAGGAAAAGCCCCGGAAAGGACAGATAGCACATACGCACGTGTACAGGCGTTCACAATCTCTTTCTTTCTCTCTCTCTCTCTCTCTCTCTCTCTCTCTCTCTCTCTCTCTCTCTCTCTCTCTCTCTCTCTCTCTCTGTGTGTGTGTGTGTGTGTGCGTGTGTGTGTGTGTGTGTGTCTTTGTGGGTGTGGGTGTGTCTTTGTGGCGCGCTCGCTCGCTAGCGAAGACACAGACAGATAGTCTCTCTCTCTCTCTCTCTCTCTCTCTCTCTCTCTCTCTCTCTCTATCTATCTATCTATCTATCTATCTATCTCTCTGTGTCTCTGTGGTGGCGCTAACGATCGATCGCTCCGTCGCGAAGACATACACAGCACAGATACGCTGACAGAGGGGAAGAGATGGCCGATCAGTTGAACGAAGAGGAGCTTGACGAGCTCAGGGAAGCGTTCAGGCTGTTCGACAAAGATGGAGAGGGAAGGCTCGACGGGAAGATTGCGATGGCCGATTTCGGAGGTATCATGCATTTTCTTGGTAAAAAAATGACTCCGACGCAGATCGAAGACTTGATTATGGAAGCGGATCCCAATCGACGTGGATGGATGGAGTTCTGGGAGTTCCTCGAATTCTTTGGTAAGCGGAAGGTGGAGGAGGAGCGGAAGCGAAGGATGATCTGTTTCAAAGCGTTCGATTCGGATCATGACGGTACACTCACTGCCGCTGAGGTCCAGTCGGCGTTGGCTCGCCGTGGAAGATTAGTTACACTGAAGCAAGCGGAAGCTATCATTCGGAGAATGGATGTTAACGGTGATGGACAGGTTAGCTTGGACGAATTTTTGGGGACGGCCAAAGAAAATGCAGCAGGAAGAAGATGATGGGGATCGGGACTATTAGCATCAGTCAATAATAATAATAATAATAATAATAATAATAATAATAATAATAATAATAATAATAATAATAGGCAAAAATGATATATCTCTACATTAAGAAGATGATGAGGATCAGGAAGATTAGCAGTAGTCAGTCAATAATAATAATAATATATACAAATGATATTTCTCTAATAATAATAATAATAATAATAATAATAATAATAATAATAATAATAGATAAAAATGATATATCTCTGCATTAAGAAGATGATGAGGATCAGGAAGATTAGCAGTAGTCAGTCAATAAGAATAATAATAATTATTATTAAATAATAGATGAAAATGATATTTTCTTTCTACATTAAGATGAGTAATGAGGTGATGATGATCTTTCTTCTTTCTTCTCTCTGCGTCTCGCTCTCTCTCTTGTTCTCTATGTCTCTCGCACGACACCGTCTTTCTCTTGGTTCTCTGTGTCTCTCAGGACACAGGGCATGCATGTAGAAAGTCGCACACTTGGACGCTGAGAGATTATTTGCAATACCAGTATTTGCGTGTGAAGAGCAATCGACCATTGCTTGTCTTCTTTCTTTCTTCAGACGATATACGTTTACTTCAAAAATATTTCGAGGCCGGGGTAGGATTGCCTGTTTTCGTTTCTCCTCCTCTACTGTTCCCCCCCCCCCCCCCC